GCTTCCGGCCGCCCTGCTTCCGGCCCTCATTCAGCCAGGAGTAGGCAGGAGAAGAGGGAGGGTAAGTTGCTTCCTCCCTGCCTCTCCCCACCCCTGCCTGCCTGGGGCCAGGGAGGGCCTTCGCGGGGCTTCCTTGCACTCCCGCCGGCCTTGCAGGTCCACCGCCGGGCCCCTCATGGGGCTCGGCAGTGGAGCTGCAAGGCCGGCGGCGACGGCTGGGGCCGTTGGGGGCGGGGTGTGTGGCCTTATGACACACTTCCGGTGATGTCAGGGGGTGTGGCATATGCTAATGAGTTATGCTAATGAGTTCCCCTAGCTCTTTTTCTACGAAACGACCCCTGGTTAGCAGAGTGCTGAAATAAAGCTACAAACACAGCAGCATCACTTTACCAGGTTACTCAGCTTACGAAGCTACACAGAGCCACTCTACACGTTTAGAAAAGAAATACCCCTCTCTTTATTTGAGAAGTACACTTAGGATAGGAAAGAGTAGGGATGTGATAGATGACTAACTTACTAGCTGAAGAATGGAGGCAGATGGCGAGAGGCCCATCTGCCTCATGGTGCCAAGAGAGGACCGCATGTCTCCTTGGTGCATGCAGGAAGAGAGTTTGTCTTCATCGGAGTGAGAGAGAAGAAGGAAAGAGAAATTGGTCCCTGAGAACACAATCTGCATTTCAAAGGGGACAGTAGCAGAAGAGTACGAGAAGGAAGAAATGTCAGTGTGCCTGTCTACCGTGTTTCCCCGAAAATAAGACACTGTCTTATATTTATTTTTTCTCAAGAAGACACACTAGGGCAGGGCTTATACCACAAATGCATAGAAATCCTGCTAGGGCTTATTTTTGGGTAGGTCTTATTTTCGGGGAAACAGGGTAGCTATCTAGCCTCTCTTGCCACTAAGTCTGGAGGTCTGAGACAGGGGACATCGCATCTGGAACTTCCAACACTCCAGGCCCTGCCTGGAGGTTGGAACCCCTATGAATGTGCTGGGCTGCAGGCCAAAGTAATTGTATGTTTCTTCTTCTACCGACGGTGGGGGGCTCATGGCCATAGAATCCAAAAAAAAGGTGAGCACATGCCTGGAGATGGGGGGTGAACACAGGTCATGCTAACAGCCTCCCATGTTGATGCAGCTTGCGGGACTGGCCCTATATGCTGAGTCTGTCTGGGTGACAGCCGATCCATACAAAGTGTACCCCATCCTGGGGGTCTCGGGAAAAGATGACGTCTACGCAGGTGCCTGGATCTCCATCTTCACTGGCTTTGCCTTCTTCTGCATCTGTGTCTTTGGTATTATCAGCCTGGTGCGTGGCAATCGCCTTATGGTTTTGCTGGTGAGTGCAACAATGGATATCCACAAATACTAGCTTTTTTTAAAAAGTCTGATTCACTCCATCACTATAGAAGAAAGCTTTGACACGCGTCCCCTGATTGTGGGATGAGATCAAAGTGGCTGTGAACGGAAACTGGGAAACCGGGAGGTGGCTGGAAGAAGGGATGCTTGTTTGGTGCTTGGGGGTCTTTTTTTATATATTTTTGCCTTATGGTTTTGCTGGTGAGTGCAACAAGGATCGAGAATGTGGATATCCACAAATACTAGCTTTTTTTTAAAAAGTCTGATTCACTCCATCGCTATAGAAGAAAGCTTTGACACGCGTCCACTGATTGTGACACGCGTCCCCTGATTGTGGGATGAGATCAAAGTGGCTGTGAACGGAAACTGGGAAACCGGGAGGTGGCTGGAAGAAGGGATGCTTGTTTGGTGCTTGGGGGTCTTTTTTTATATATTTTTTTTCTATACCACCCGTAGCCAAAGCTCTCTGGGCAGTTTACAAGTATAAAACCAATAAAATACAATAGATAGAACAGTAAGAGTTAAACATTAATATAAGATAACATTGAGTACAATAGGCCTGGCCCAAAAAGACGTGAACCAAAGTTAAAGTGAAGAAAAGCACCTGGCTAATCATACTGGGCCTCTGCATGACCAGGGAGGTCTTTAAAGGCCTCCGCAATGAGGGCTGCCTTATCCTGGCACCAAGAAGATGGCAAATCAGTGCCAGGCAGGCCGCAGCAGGGAGGTTGTTCCAAAGATTGGGGGCCACCACCGAAAAGACCCTCCCCCTAGTTGCCACCCTCTGGGCCTCTCGAGGGGTTGGCACCTGGAAGAAGGACCCAGAGGCTGATCGTAGCGTCCGGGTAGATTGGGGTTGGCAGGGCTTTTTTTGTAGAAAAAGTCGAGCAGGAACTCATTAGCATAATAGGCCACACCCAGCAGCTGTTGGGTGTGGCCAACTTGGGAGCCAGCCGGAACTCCGTTCCTGTGCGTTCCTGCCCCAAAATAGCCCTGGGGCTTGGTATGGTATTGACATCCATCCCATAATGGCCAATGGACAATAAGCTCTGGAGGTTTTAGTTGTTTTTAAAAGACCTGATTGACCAGAATTAACTACAGGGTAGAATTGCTAGCTGCAGCCTGGGAAAACCCTGGAGATTGGGGGGGGGGGGGCGGTGCTTGCAGAGGGCAGAGCCTGAGAAGTAGATGGAGCTCAGTGGGGATGTGATGCCATCGCAGAGTCTGCCCTCTGAGCGGCAATTACGTAGCTCCAGGGGGACTGATCTCTGCAGGCTGGAGACTAGTAATTTGGGGAGAGCTCCAGCCCCTGCACTGAAGTTGGTATCCCACTGCCATGGGCCAAGAAGGTGTGTGTGTGCAGGAATTAGCGTGCGGTGGAAGATGGAGGAATGAGGGAACCCAAAAGGAGGGTTGCCAGCTCTGGGGTTGAGAAATACCTGGCGGATTTTGGGGGCGGATCCTGGGGAGGGGCCTCAGCAGGGTACAATGCTGTAGAGTCCACTCTCCAAAGCAGCCATCTTCTCCAGGGAAACGCAGAGCTGGCACCCCTACTAGGGCTGCCAAGTCCCCCCGGGGGCGGAAAACCCCCCGCCCCAGAGGCCCGTTCCCCGACGCTGGGGAATTGGGCCCCGGGGGGAACCCCGCTCCAGCGTGCACGTCACAGGGAAGTGACGTTATGACGCCGGGCACGCTGGGGGTGGGGCCACACACCGGGATCCGATCGGGAGTCCCCCGCCGGCAGGGTAAGTGCCACTTGGCAACCCTAAGATTAAGCCCTATAAGGTCTGGGGCCTACTTGCCTGAGGGACCGCCTTTCCCCACGTGTTCCCCAGAGAGCACTGAGGTTGGTGTCTCAAAATCGCTTGGCCTTCTCTGGACCCAAGGACCAGGGCCTTATCAGTGGCAGCTCCAATACTGGTGGAATGAGCTCCCAGAAGACATCAGGGCCCTGCAGGACCTTTTACAGTTCTGCTGGGCCCGCAAAATGGAGCTCTCCCACCAGGCCTTCGATTAGGAGCCGCTTCCAACAACCAAACGGGGGTAGGGCCCTCCATGCGATCACCAGTAGCCTTCAATAGTTTCTATTAATGGTCTGATAAACTGGTTACCAACTCTGGCTGTACTCCTTTGCCTCCATTCCACCATGGCCTACTAGGATCACTATGTGAGGTCATATCACCACCAGCACTTTATTTGTTATTTGTTATGTACATGGTTTTATGACGTCTATTATTCGTGTTTTACTGTATTTTAACTTCTCAATGTAAGCTGCCCTGAGCCTGCCTGGCGGGGAGGGCAGGATATCAGTTGAAATAAATAAATAGCTACTGGTACTGCCTGGTGTTTGACCCCCTTCCCTCAAACCCACATAATATCCTTTACTAGGCCCCGCCAAAATGACATAGAATGACGTGTGAGCGTTTGGATTCTCCAGAACACATTTAGCCTGCTGAGGTGTTCTCCAGAACTTGAAAGCTTGCCCACTGCTCTTAGGGTTGCCAAATGTACTCACCTGTGCCGGCGGGGGACTTTGTGTTGCCTCCCGGTGCGCATGCGCGCGCCGCATGTACGTCACTTCCCTGTGACATCATCACGCTGGGGCGGGGCACAGCCATTTGGGGGGGGCGGAAATCGGGGCTCCAAAGCTGGGGGAATTCCGCCCCCCGGGGGGATTTGGCAGCCCTAACTGCTCTGTGTCATTTTAGTCGGTCATCATATGACGTGACTTTGGGCTCTGAGTTTCGCTTTGGAACAACGCATCTACCGGCAACCTCCTCCTACTTCAGCAGGGGTTCTAGCGTCCCAACCTGACCTGCAAGCCCCTCATCGTGTTAAGCTTTTCAGTTCAGAAATGTTGCTTTTGTAAGTGATGAGACTGTGCCCGGGGGTGTTAACTGCATGTGTTGTATGTTTGTACCAAGCTCACAGAAATGATGCTTGGTCCCTTGTGTGTGTAGCAGAGGGGCCGTGGCTCAGTGGCAGAGCATCTGCTTGGCATGCAGAAGGTCCCAGGTTCAATCCATGGCTTCTCCAGGTCAAAGGACCAGGTTGGAAGTGATGCGAAAGACCTTTGCCTGAGATAGGGTTGCCAGGTCCTCCCTGGCTGCCAGTGGGGGCTGGGGAGGTGGGGTTGCCAGATGCAGGTCGGGAAACTCCTGGAGATTTGGGGGTGGAGCCTGGGGAGGGCAGGGACCCCAGTGGGGTAGAATGCCACAAAGCCCACCCTCCAAAGCAGCCATTTTCTCCAGAAGAACTGAACTCTGTAGACTGGAGTTGTAATTCTAGGATATTCCCCAGGCCCCACCTGGAGGGTGGTACCCAGGGCTATTTTTGGGCAGGAACGCACAGGAACGGAGTTCCGGCTGGCTCCCGAGTTGGCCACGCCCAGCAGGAACTCATTAGCATAATAGGCCACACCCAACAGCAGAAACTCATTTGGATTGGCTACAATTAGGGGTGTGTGGCCTAACATGCAAAAGGCCCTGGGTTTTGACAACAAACAAGGTAAAGAGAATAAGAAGCAAAAGGTGGGTGTGGCTGGATGACCACACTTCTGGTAACATGGGGGTGTGGCCTAATATGCGAATGAGCTGTGGTGTCAGGGTGTGGTCTAATATGCTAATGAGTTCCTGCTGTTGGGTGTGGCCTATTATGCTGATGAGTTCCTGCTGGGCTTTTTCTACAAAAAAAGCCCTGGTGGTACCCCTAGCCTGAGACCCTGGAGAACAGCCGCCCGACTGGAATAGACCATCCTGATGTTAATGGACCAAGAGTCTGAGTCGGGAGAAGGCAGATTCAGGTGTCCATAGAAAGAAGGGAGGGGTCACTCCAGCCAGCTTTCCACTTCGGCTTCTGAGTTCAAGAGAGAAGGCCGACTTGCTCTCCTGCCCCTGCTGGAGTCTCACTTTGTCGTTTATGTCCTCAGTATCTGGTCCTGATCCTGGTTGTCTACTTGTTTGAATGCGCGTCTTGCATCACAGCCTACACTCACCGGGACTTTGTAAGTATGGGAAGGGGGGCATCTTCTAATTACGCCATTTTTTGATGAGGGCAAAAGGTCATGGCTTGGTCCGGTGCCACATCGTAAAACTATAAAAATCTACTAAGAAACATTATTGTGCTTTAAAGCCTTTATGGTTTGGGGGAGAGGGTTGGTATTTTTCATATGTGAGCATGTGTGCACCTGGAAGTCATGGCGACTTCTGGTGACTGACCCCAACTGGAAGATATTCAGACAGATGGCTGAATGAAGCCTGCCCCCCACTTCCCGGCTCTGGTATTCCAAGGAGGTCTCCCATCCAAGTACTTGTCAGAGTCAACCCTGTTTAGCTTCCCAGATCTGGTGAGATCAGGGTTGCCTGGGCTATCCAGACCAGGGCTGTGTTATTTTGTTTTGGAAGTGACTTTCTACCACCTTCATTTAACTTGGCATGACCCCATTCTTGTCTGGGACGTCAAACTTGTGCAAAAGTTCCTGACAGTGACCTTTGAAAGCATCATTCAGTACAGCCCATTTACCTAACTTGCTTCTTCTGTATTTAGGGGTGGAGATCTCCCAGAATTACAATTGATCTCCAGACAACACTGATCAGTTTCCCTGTAGAAAACGGTGGCTTTGAGGGTGGACTCTATGGCAGTGTAACCCTGCCGAGGTCCCTCCCCAGGCTCCACCCCCCCAGATCTTCAGGGATTCCCAACCTGGAGTTGGAAACTCTATTTATATTCCATGTTTCACATTGGGACTGGGGGTGGATTATAGAACTAGAAAGGTAAAGGTAAAGGTTCCCTTGCTCGAAAGCCAGTCGAATCCGACTCTAGGGTTGCGGTGCTTATCTCAGTTTCAAAGCCGAAGAGCCAGCGCTGTCTGAAGACGTTTCCATGGTCATGTGGCCGGCATGAGTAAACACCAAGGCGCACAGAACGCTGTTACCTTCCCACCGAAGTGGTCCCTATTTATCTACTTGCAATTTCTTGCTTTTGAACTGCTAGGTTGGCAGGAGCTAGAACTAGAGACGGGAGCTCACTCCGTCATGTGGCACACTCGGGTCTCGAACTGCTGAACTACCGACCTTCCACAGCCTGCAGTTCAGCGTCTTAACCACTTGAGCCACCGCAGCTCCAATTAGAAAACAATGCACTAAAATCAAGTATAATAATACTGGAAACGTACAATAATTCTGGGTTACGAAACTGGAGAACAGTATAATAAAAGCAGGATAATACGATATTTAAAGACTGAGTGGTTTTTCCACAGACATTAAAACTACCACCCTGTTTCCTTTATGCCCAGTCCTGGATAGCCCAGGCTAACCCGATCTTGTCAGATCTAGGAACGTAAGCAGGGTCATCATCCCTAGTTGGATGGGAGACATGAAGGAAGTCCAGGGTTGCTACACAGAGGCAGGCAGTGGTGAACCACCTCTGAACGTCTCTTGCCTTGAAAACCCCATGAGGGGTCACTGGAAGTCAACTGCAACTTGACGGCACTTTCCACCAAGTTTCCTTTATGAACAGGCCTTCCTGAACAATTCTGTTCTGCACGTACTGTGGAACAACAGCCGTGCCCCCTTGAGCTATGTGGCTCATTGGCTACAGTGAGCATAACACCTCAATGCGATTTGACTCCAGTGATCAAAGCAGTTTGTGGGAAGGCTGCAGGTGAATGACGGCCGCCTCTCTCACTGGCCAGAGCAGTTGAGCAGTCAGTGTTGAAAGTTTCATTCTACAAACCGATTTCATGCCAGTGTCTCTTATGGGATCAACCAGTTAACATTACAAGCTTTCTTAGCTTTGTAAGGTGGTTCTTCAAACATGGGTGCAGAAGGTTAAATGAACTGGGATTGCTCTTTTGACATATTTTAAGAACATATAAGAACATAAGGGAAGCCATGTTGGATCAGGCCAGTGTCCCATCCAGTCCAACACTCTGTGTCACACAGTGGCCAAAAATACCAGGTGCCATCAGGAAGTCCACCGGCGGGGCCAGACTCCACAAACCCTCACGTCACTCCATCTCTATCTCATCTAATTCTCCTTCTTCCTTTTGTCCATGCCTGTCCCATGATCTCCAGCATAGCCTTTTTGCGTGGTCCTTCCTTTTTTCACTGGCAGAAAAGCTATCCAGCCTAACAACTACAAGCATCTCTGCTTGAAGAAAAGTCTTTATATTCAAAAGTTTGCAATGCTTTCCATAGAGGATTTGGTCTAGGATTGTGTCAACTTTTTCTTCTAAGCCTAGAAAACCGATTTGGCCTAGAAATACTGGAGTGTATCCAACCATCCCCAAACGTTGTGGAGCCGGACTTTCCCACGTTCTCCTTCCACTGCAGTCCACTGTCTTTGGGGGTGAGCATTCCGTGGGGAGGATGTCCCCAGTGGAAATGCTCTGTCCCCACTTGTCTAACCTCTGACAGCAGGAGGAGCTAACATAGGCCCTCCAGTCTTCAGAAACGGGCAGGTTACACTGGAAGAAGGAGGACCCTTCCAATCCTTGCTTATATTTTTTAACTGGGCTCTTTGGAAAGCAGACTTTTCAGACTGTGTGGCTCGCGGAATGTAGCTCACCCACATAGTTTCCTCTCCCTTCCCCCACCCAGGTGGTTTCGAATTCCAATTTGGTCACCAAACAGATGCTGACCTACTATTCTGCGGACACACACCAAGGCCGGGAGCTCACCCGGATGTGGGACCGCTTCATGATGGAGGTAATGTGCCCATCCCTACAGGATCTCAACGGAAGAGAAGGGCCCAGAGCTCGACTCAGCCAACTCGTGTCTTTGTCAGGGCTCAGTGGCAGAAGCCGCACTGTACAGCCCAACTGGATCAAGTGGCAGAAGCCGCACTGTACAGCCCAACCAGATCACGGCTGGGATGTATAAAATTGGCACGTCTGCCTCCAGTCACTTTTAGGGGTGGGGGGGAGGGGCACGTCTGCCTCCAGTCACTTTTAGGGGGGAAAAACAATTAATGGCTAAGAATGCAATGCTGCAAAATTTATTCAGTTTGGTCAGTCTCTCTGGGAGTACGTGGCGGATGGATCACCCCACTGACAGCAACTCGGTAATGTTTCTGCTTTCCTTCCCAACCCCTGCTGATGGAACTGGCTCCCGGTGTGACTGATCAGAGGGGCATTCTGGGAATTTGTGCAGACTCCTATGCCACTCCTAGCAACTAGCTTGATAGTTTTTTACCAAGCTGGAATTAGGAAGGTGTCTCTGGTGTACTGGAAGCACTCCTCATCTCTTATCACTCCTCATCATCAGCCAGTTTGGTGTAGTGGTTAAGAGCGGTGGACTCTAGACTGGGAGAACCGGGTTTGATCCCCCCACTCCTCCACCTTGGGTCATTTACACGTGCTTTCAGAGATGTTCTCTGAGAGCTCTCTCAGCCCCACCTACCTCACAGGATGTCTGCTGTGGGGCGGGGAAGGGAAAGGAGATGGCAAGCTGCTCTGAGACTCCTGGTGAAGGGTGGGATATAAATCCAATCTCTTCTTCCCCTTCTTCTTAACCTCTGCTTTCTGACACGGAGGCCTGCTGTGACAGATGGGGGCATCCAGGGACATGCCAGAGCATGGTCTGTAGCTGAGGGCAGCATTGAGTAGTGGTTAGTATGTCGGAGTGGCCTCTGGGAGACTCTGCCTTGGAAGCTCACTGGGTGACCTTGGGCCAGTCTCAGCTTGACCTGCTTCGCAGCGTTGTGAGGAGAAAATAAGAGGAGGGGAACAATAGTGTAAGCTGCTTTGGGTCCCTGTTAGGGAGGAAAAGTGGGACCTACATAAATGACACGGTGCTTTCAGACACACTAAATAATCCACTTTCAATGCACTTTGCAGCTGGATTTTGCTGCATGAAATGGCAAAATCCGGGGGGGGCTGGGGCTGGGCCAGAGGCATTGCTAAGTCATTAAAAGAACTGGGACCCAATGACGTCATAGGGAGGAGCTAGTGATATCACAGGCATGGTTACTATCTATGGAGGTGGACCCATGTGGGATTTAGGGATGGGCTCCCCAGAAATTTAGGGAGGCCTGGGAACCGCCCTAGCAATGTCCCTGGGCTGGGCTAACCCCAGGAACAGTTGCCTTCTTAGCACACTGCTTAGAAACTTAGAAAGCCCCACACATACCCCACACTGGAATAAGAACATAATATCAGGCCATACCACATTGCAATAAAGCCCCTACAACTGTATACAGAAATACTGAGCTTCCCTACCATTTGCCACAACTAGCCCACCACACAAGAAGAGGAGGAGATTGGATTTATACCCCGAGGAGCGAGCGCGCGTCTTCCTGCTCCGCCGGCCCACCACCTCTCTTGATGTAAGAACATGCAATTTCTTAGGCTGCAAAGAACTTCCCCTCAGAAGGAACTTTTTCCTGCCTCATTTCAGCTCTTTGGTGGAGAGTTCTGGAATGAGTTCCTGCTGTTGGGTGTGGCCTGTTATGCTAACGAGTTCCTGCTGGGTGTGGCCAACTCAGGAGCCAGCTGGAACTCTGTTCCTGTGCGTTCCTGCCCAAAAATAGCCCTGGCTTCTGGTTCTACTTGCTTCTAACCCCCTTTGCAACCTCACTGAGAACAATAAATTCCATAACTGGTGAATCAGCCCTAAGGAGCGACCAAGTGGGGGAAATGCTGCATTTCAGCCTTAGTTTGTGCCTGCTGACTCCTGATACCTAGTTATGCCTTGGTAGTTTTGATATTTCTCTGTTATTTCATTTCTACACAGATATATCCAGCATTCTGTTCAGTAAACAGTGTGCTACATATTTAAAAGATGCACGTTTGTGGAAGGGTCCATGTCCGTATGGTGAACTTTTCACTTTATTCCTCTTTGAAGAGTTATTTTCACGACAAATAAAAATGTGGATTACACAACACTGATCAATGCAGTGGTTATAATTAGATAGCTTGAGATTTTCTAATTACACGTTCCAGAGAGGTGACAAAAGTCAAATATTGAACCGCAGCATATTAATTAGACACTTTCTCTTGAAATGTAATATATTCAGAAGGAAGAGTGTACAATTACCATAATTTAAAAGATTTTTATTAGAAAGGTTAATATTGTCTTGTAAACAGGAATGTAATTTGCATTTTTCATTATAACATATTTCACATTGCAAATAAGTTTATTAAGTGATCTGAAGGTCATCGACATGATCCAGAAACTTGATCCATGCAAAGAAGAGCTTGTGTGTGTGAGACAGAGAGACAGAGAGACACAGAAAGAGAGACAGACAGAGAGAAAGAAGGCTGTTTTCAGATGCATGTTGCACATACAAGGATAACAATACAATTAACATACAGTGGATCTATTTAGATATTTATACCCTGCTTTCCTCCCAATGGAGACCCAAAATGGACTATAACATCATTCTCCTCTCCTCCACGTTAGCATCAGAACAACAGCCACATAAGGTAGTGTAGGCTGAGAGTGTGACTGGCCCAAGGTCACCCAGCCAACTTGTATGGCAGAGCTGGGATTCGGACCTGGGCCTCCCATACCCTAGTCTGAAATTCTAACACTACACAATATAGGCAAGTGATTTCACAATCGCTTGAGCATGGATCAGTGCAAATGGCTTATTATAGGCACTTTCACACACACACCAAATAATTCACTTTCAATGCACTTTGCAGCTGGATTTTGCTGCATGAAATGGCAAAATCCACTTGCAGACCTAGGGTTGCCGGCCCCCAGGTCCCAGTGGGGGATCCCCTGCTTTTGGGGGCTGCAATTTGTCACTGGCCAGCTAGCCAGTGGGGGAAACCCCACTCCTAGGGTTGCCAAATGGGGGCGGGGGGTGGGGAAAACCCCGCTATGGAGGCCCGATTTCCACCGCGGCAGAATCGGGCCCCGGGGGGAACTCCGCCCCCCAAAGCTGCGTCAGCGGAGGTGACGCAGCCACGTTGCTGACGTTGGGGGCGTGCGTGGCTGAGCTCGTTTCTCCCCCAACGAGCTCAGCCACGCCCCCAACGTCAGCAACGTCGCACGTCACTTCCGGTGACGTGGTGGCAGCGCGTGCATGCGCACATATGGAGCCTGCTCCCGGACTCGTCGGAGCCTCCCCTGCCGGTGAGTTTGCCAGACTTGGCAACCCTACCCACTCCCAAATAGGGACATCGTTGGGCAACATCCCTGACACGATGACATCACCCAGAAGTGACATCATTGCATTGGCGATGTCGCACACGACACTCTGGTTTGTGGGCAAACTCTATGGTTTTGAAGCAAAAAAAAACCCCGTAGAGTTTTTGCCCCTAAACCAGAGCATTGCGTGCGACATCGCAGACGCGATGATGTCACTTCCGGGTGATGTCATTGCATCCGCATGTTGCCCGACAACGTCCTGCCGACCCCCGGAACGATGGCGAGGGGACCTGGCAACCCTAGGCAAACCACTGCTGAAGTGTATCGAAACTGCATTATTTAGCACATGTGGAAGCGTGTGATATGTTTTTAAATTTTATTGTGTGTACCAAGCCTGCCACACAGTGCTGCTGGTAGGAGCCCCTCTAAGTCTTCTTGGGGCCCTCTGCATATTTCCACCATTCCTGAATGGAGCAGGGGTGGGACCGTGGCTCAGTGGCAGAACATCTGCCTGGCATGCAGGAGGTCTCAGGTCCAATCCCCGGCATCTCCAGTTAAAAGGGTCAGGTAGCAGGGGAGGTGAAAGACTTCTGCTTGAGACCCTGGAGAGTTACCACCAGCCAGAGTAGACAAGACCAACCCTGGTAGACCAAGGGGCTGATTCAGGACAAGGCAGTTTCTCACATAGGTGAAACACAGCAAAGAAACAAACCGAAACAAGGCTCCTAGGAGTCATTTCCCCCCCCAATAGGAGGTACAAACTCTAACCATTGTGATCTGCTCCCCTCCATTCCTAGCGGTTTGGCTGCTGCATCAATTACTTTGCGCTGGAGCCATCCTTCCTGAGCTAAGACAAAAAATTGTGAGCTGGAAGCTAAAAAACTGTGAGCTAGCTCACACTAACTCAGCTTAGAGGGAACACTGCTAGGAGTCATTTTTTCCCCAACAGGAGGTACAAACTCTAACCAGTGTGATCTGCTCCCCTCCATTCCCCCTCTAGCAACAATGCTGCGGCACCAACAGTCCAATGGACTGGGTGAACTACACCTCAGTCTTCCGCGGCAGGTACCCCGAGGTGGTGGCCCCCTGGCCGTTCTACTGTTGCAAGCGGGACCCCAACTTCATCATCCTCAATGAAGAGGGCTGCAGACTGGGGCACGTTGACTACATCAATACCAAGGTATGGGGAATCCTCCACGTCTCCCCTCCTGTTCCTGGACACTCGTGTGAGAAGATCAGAACTGGCAGGAATCGACTGAAGCCTCCTTCTCCAGGTCAACGAGAGCTGCCAACTTCCCCTTTGGAACTTGGGGGAAGAAGCAGCACTCTCAGTTTCTGGAAAGGAGCCGTGACTCAGTGGCAGAGTGTATGTTCTGCATGCAGAAAGTCCTAGGTTCTGTCCCGGACATGCCCAGTTAAAAGCAGCTGGAGTGATGTCAGGGGGTGTGGCCTTATGACACACTTCTGGTGATGTCGGGGTGTGGCATATGCTAATGAGTTATGCTAATGAGTTCCCCTAGCTCTTTTTCTACGAAATGACCCCTGATAGGACCCACAAAGACCCTGCTCTGCCTTAGAGAGTCACTGCCCGTTGGCTTAGATGGTGCTGGATTTGGTAGAACAACTAAGGTCACTTCCTGTGGCTGAGTGATAGAGCATCTGCTTGGTATGCAGAAGGTCCCAGGTTCAATCCCCGGCACCTCCAGTTAAAAAGGGTCGGATAATAGGTGATGTGAAGGACCTCAGCCTTGAGACCCTGGAGAACAACGGCTAGTCTGATGGACCAATGGTCTGATTCAGTATAAGGCAGCTTCCTGTGCTGGTGCGTCCTTTGTTCCTCTCCTCTTTGAGAAGTTCTCACCCAGTTATCCTTCCTTGCTCCAGGGCTGCTTCGACCACATCAAACACGCAGTAGACAGCTACGCCTGGGGGGTCTCCTGGTTCGGCTTTGCTATCCTAATGTTCACGGTGAGTGAGTCCCGGCTGCATGGTTTGGTGGTGGGGAAAAGGAAATAGATGGCTATGGGGCGACTGTGGAATTTGCCTAATGATAGCGTCTTCCCTCTGCCCTAGTGCCCTGTGGTCCTTCTGGTCATATACCACTACACCACAATGTGAGGAACCCCAGCTGGTCAAGCTGGTTTGCATCCGGTGATGGAAGAGGACCTTATTTTGCTAGGCCGAGCAAGGGATACTTGGCCACCTTCCCATGGAGACCTCTCTGGGTGTCCTCCTGTACTCACCTCACACACCAAAATGTGTCCTTGAAGGTGGGCCTGGTCTTGTCTCCTCCTTCCGGCCACGGCTGGTCTTCCCTTCTGACCCCTTAAATTTATCATCCTGTCACTGGGGTCTCTTCACAATTTCTTTGTACAACTTTTTTTTCGTTTTACGATGGAATCTTCACAATTTCTTTGTACAACTCTTTTTGTGTGTTTTAAAACGTATCATAAATATGATTTGAAATCCTGAGGTTGATGAGCATTCTTTGTGCACAGTGAGAATTTAACCTGGGCCATTTAAAGAAGAAGAGTTGGGTTTTATACCCTGAAGAAGAAGTTGGTTTTTATACCCTACCTTTCACTACCCAAAGGAGTCTCAGAGCGGCTTACAATCGCCTTCCCTTCCTCTCCCCACAACAGACACCCTGTGAGGTAGGTGGGGCTGAGAGAGCTCTTTTGAGGACTGCTTTTGGTAACAGCGTTCCGTGCGCCTTGGTGGCTTCATGTGGAGGAGGAGCGGGGAATCAAACCCAGCTCTCCAGATTACAGTCCGCCACTCTTAACCACTACACCAAAATCTAGCTGGAACTCCATAGCATAATTAATCCCCCCCACCTCCTTTTCCCCACTTCTACATCAAATCGGGTAGTATCCCTGCGTATATTACAACAGACCCTAAAGGAACAAAGTTTGAGTCTAGGGGCACCTTTAAGACCAACAAAGTTTTATTCAAACCACAGACCCTAAAATGTTTTTTCTGGGATGGGCCTTCTTCCTCTCCGTTCCAAATGACTTCCTAAATTATGGAGCCCCCTACTGGAGAATGAGCAGATAAATCACCAGGAAACTTTGTAGGAAATCATGCAGTAACTCCTGACAGCGTTTTTGCCCTTTGCACAGGGGATGGCCTAGGAGTATCATTTGATGCTTGCTTGAGGGCTACAAAATGGAGTAGGTCAGCCCTTTGGAGCGGTGCCCACTGGAGGAATATAAGCTTGAAATAGGCAACACGTATTAAAATGATTCCTCTTATCTCTTGGACAGAAAGGTCCAGAGCAGGGGTCCCCAACATGGTGCCCACGGGCACCACCGTGGTGCCAGCTCGACAGCTTTCCTGGCACCCAAGTGTTTTTAGAAAGTGGGAGTGGCCGGAGGGAGCTGCTGTCCAGCAGGGTTTCTGATTGGCCATGCAAATTAAAAGAATGTTGTTACAGGACAGCTGCCACCACTGAGTTAGCTGTGCTCTCTCATACTCCTCTTTCCCCATGCATTTTTTTTTAAAAGTTACTCCTCTTGTCCTTTGCTCTTGGGCTGCCTTTGTGTGTGGCCCCGCCCCTCATGGTGGCCATTTTGTGGTTATATCCACCATCTTGTGTCAGGATTCCAGTGGTGCCCACAGGACCCCTGGACTAGAGAGTCACTGTTTTCAAAAAATGATAGCTGGAAATCCAGAGAAGAATAGCTAAACTCCAGGCGGTGCCCAGAGAGCTGCTGGAATTCCAACTTATCTCCAGACAGCAGTTCCCCTGGAGAAAATGGTGGTTTTGGATGGTGGGCTGTATGGACTGTCTGGTATCATACCCCACTGACATCCCTCGCCTCCCCCAAACTACACCCTCGTCAAGATCCAGTCTCCAGGAATTTCCAGCACCAAAGTTGGCAGCCTTAACCAAGAGGAGCAGATCACTATAACTTTATTGCCCTGTAGTAATTTAGTGATTGGTGACTTTTTTTAAAAGCCCTCCAGTGGTGTGTGGGGGGGGAGTGCAAGGAAAAAGAGCAGCTGTTCAAAGAAAGCGTGCTCATAAAACTTCTATAGAGACGCTCCATCGCCAATGTGTGTGGAGGGTAGAAAGCCAGGTCAGTGAACTAGGGCTGGCAACAAACAGCTGGACTGGGAGATCTCCCAGAATTACAACTTATCTCCAGATGACAGAATCATAGAACCACAGAGCTGGAAGGGGCCATACAGGCCATCTAGTCCAGCCCCCTGCTCAATGCAGGATTAACCTAGAGCATCCCTGACAGGTGTTTGTCCAGCCGCTGCTTAAATGACAACAATGGGAACATGCTCGTTTCGAAGTGCCTTTCTCAAATGAGTCTCAATTTTCTATCCATGTGCAATAAAGTCGACAATGGTATCTTGAATCAAAATGGTCTTCTCCCAAAGCTATATAGCTACAAGTATAACATTTCAAAAATTTTGAGCATCAACTCGAGAAGTTCGTCTGCCAGTCTGTTTACCTGTTGAATATAAAGATCATACATCATGAAATCTACTTCAGTGTAATTTACTTCTGTGTGCACATTTGCAGCAATTTTTTTGTCTTTCACAGCCACTGCTTAAAGACTGCCAGTGATCAGGTCCCCTGGAGAAAAAGGCTGCTTTGGAGGGTGGATTCTGTGGCATTGAAGCCCACTGAGCTCCCTCCCTAAACTATGTCCTCCCCAGCCTCAACCCCCCCCCCCCAAATCTCCAGGGATTTCCCAACCCAGAGCTGTCAACCCTACTGAGTGAAACTCAGTGTGGTGTGGAGGAAAGCCTGGATTCACACCCACCTACCATGGTCTAGCTTGGAGGTAACTAGAGCATGGCCGTCGCTTGAGGATCACGCCAAGACTTGTATACACAGTGTCCATTTGTAGAAATTCTTCTGCAACCAGCCAGCAGTACGAGTATACCTTAAGGGAATCCGTAGGGCAGATCTTTCTGGTTATAGCAGAGGCCAGGGTCTAAGCCAGGCAGAGAGGTATAGTTTTCCTGAGGTGTTTGAAGGCCCTGACACACACACACACACCCATGGCCTTTACTATTATATACCATTCATGAGGTTGGTATACATGGGATTGGGGAAGAGGTCCCAATCTGAAAGTTTGGGTCGGGACCGGAAAAAAATGACACTTGGTACTAGGGTATTTGGAGCTGCGGTGGCTCAAGTGGTTAAGACGCTGAACTGCAGGCTGTGGAAGGTCAGTAGTTCAGCAGTTCGAGACCCGGGTGCCGCATGATGGAGTGAGCTCCCATCTCTGGTTCCAGCTCCTGCCAACCTAGCAGTTCGAAAGCAAGAAATTGCAAGTAGATAAATAGGGACCACTTCGGTGGGAAGGTAACAGCATTCCGTGCGCCTTGGTGTTTAGTCATGCCAGCCACATGACCACGGAAACGTCTTCGGACAGCGCTGGCTCTTCGGCTTTGAAACAGAGATGAGCACTGCAACCCTAGAGTCGGATTCGACTGGCTTTTGAGCAAGGGAACCTTTACCTTTACTTACTAGGGTAATACAGACAATCCATAACCTCTAGAAGTAGGTGTGAAGTAGTTTTCCAGTTCACCTTTTTAGAAAAGTCACGCCTCATTCACAGTGCAATCCTAAACAGAGTTATGCCTTTCTAAACCCACGTGTCCTGGCCTGGATGGCCCCAGCTTGCCTGATCTCGTCACATCTCAGACACTAAGCAAGGTCAACCCTGGCTAGTACTTGGGTGGGAGGCTACCAAGGGAGTCCGGGGTTGCTGGGCAGAGGCAGGCAGTGGCGAAACCACCTCTGAACGTCTCTTGCCTTGAAAACCCCATGGGGGTGACCACAGGTCAACAGTGCCTTGACAGCACCTGACATACAACAATCCCATTTACTTCAATGGCCTTAAGGGCTATTAACTCACTTTCTCTGCCCTATATTTTGCTTTAATGTCCTGTCCTTAACAACAGTTGAGAACTGCCAAAGGGGGCAGAAAAGTGGGGAATGAATTTTGTAAAGAAACAAACCCTCTTTACGATTGCGCCGTTACACGTGGTACCAGCAAGGCAAAAGAGTCTTCCCCTCTTGACTTCTGCATGATAGGCCCCCTACCTGTCCCGAGCAAATTTAGCTCATTGCTTCAAGCCCCTATCTTTTTTACCCAGTGGCCTTACCAGAAACAGCATGCCGCCTTTGCCACGGAGGCAAACCACAGAGAGGCAAAATTAGGACAGTCAGTGACCCTTAGCACCTCACTAGGGAAGGTAGGAAGGGGGCCTTAGCATGATTTCCCCCCTAATATCCCCGTTTGTAAATAGTTTCCAAAGAGGCCGGGCTGTGTTGCTATGGGAACTATCTTCCTACAGCATATGTGGGTCCCTGCTGTGTGCTGTTTTTTTGAGTCATCTGCACTTCCTACTCCCCCCCCCCCCCCCCCCCGCAAGCCTAGACTCATCCCTACCTGTGGGGAAATATACCTATTAAATGTTGTGGTCTCAATCCAGGCTGCTTGGCTGGACACCGCCACTAGCTTTTCCTTTGCTCCTTTCACTTTGGCCTTTGGCACAGAACACAGGTCTACTCCAGAGGAAGAATGGCCGATAAGGATACAGGGGTGGCCGGGTGAATGTTTACTTACGAACCGAGTTCCTGTGATTAGCAGGTTTTTCCGGCTTGGTCGCATTGCTGTCTGTCTCCCCAGCCCAAGGAACCTGGCGCAGACTTTCAATCTGTCCACCACTCGTCACCCTCTGAAGCAGCCATTTTCTCCAGGAGATCTGATCTCTGTAGTCGGGAGATCGGGTGTAATTCCAGAAGAGCTCCAGGCCCAGCAACGCTATGTATTTATGAGACAAACTCTTGACTTGTGCTAGGGCGGGAGACGAGAGGCCTCAACCATACAGGAACATAAAGAATTCACTTCTCACTGAACAAACACAACCAGCATCTAGTGTGAATGTTCTCTGAAATCACAGGGATGCAGACAATGCTAATTTTGACGGGGCAGGTTCCACAAGGAGGATTTCTTTGGTTCCTCAAGACGCCATTCTCCAATTCTGCACTAATGTTTTTGCCCTGCTTTAAAAAAAACATTTATTTTTTTAAAAAAAGATGTTTTCTGGCATGACATTGCTGGGATGATCTTTTTCTTGGATCCAAAGGCGAAGGTATACACTATGTTCAAACGGAAGCAAATACCCCCTTCCTCTGCATCTTCACAGTGAGCTATTTGAGGGGCTTTTTTGGGGGGGGGGGGATAATAGCACAGCTAGTACAGTACAGCAATATAAAAGGCTCTTCCGCATTCTCATTTGAATGATGTGTTTGTCCCTGTTGGTTTGCTTTTCCACGTTTTGCTCCCCCTAGTGGTTGAGTCAATATGAAATACTTGTATGTCTGGCATGTTTCCCCGCAGATTTAAAGGGAGATGGGATGGGGTGGAATAGGCACCGATGCCTTGGACTGCCCAGCAGTGAAGTGGAGCCCAAATATAAGCAGATGGGAGTGGGGATGGGATCTGCCCAGTGTCTTGTTCTGCTCTGCAACAAAGTGTAGAATTACACTACTTCAAGCAGCAGTATGCAAGCGCCAAATAAAATTAATGAGGATGGACAAAAAAGAATGATAGTGGCATGAGTATAATGGGGGGAAGGCATCAATATGCATCTGGTGTGAAGGGAAGCCACAGCGAATAATGGTGGTGGTGGGGAAACAGATTACCCCATGCCACCTGGAATCTCCATTGCAACTGCAAATGGACCAACAATTGCACTGGTAACATGACCGCCATGGAACAATTGCGCGCACGCACACACACGTGTGGAATCAGCCAGGGAGGTTTCTTAATGATCTGAGGCTGAGGATGTGATTTCCAAGCAGGTTCTTATTTTAAAAAAAGCAAAGCAAATGCCAAACAGAATCAAAGTGAAGCCCCTGCCAGTTTGTCCCCTCGCTTTTCTCACCAGTGAAACTCTGGGCCTGAGCTGCCAGTTTGCCTTTATTTGTTAATCAGTTTGTTTTAAGCCATTTAGTACAAGAGTCCAGAAAGAGAGGAAGGTTGAATCATATCCAAAAAAGGAATGCAGCACATTGGGGCAATGAGGAAACATTGGCCTTTAGAAACACAGGCACATAGAGAGAGAGACACACACACACACACGTGTGGCAGTGACAGCTTCACAGCATCAGAGAATATGGGACTGCCCCTGCCCCCCCCCAAAAAACAGCACCTTCCCCCAAAAAACTGTTGCTTTTGATGCCTGACCCTGGGAGACTTTATGCAAAGAGGCCCAGAGGTGTCCAATTCCCTTGGCGTTAGGAAATGTGCCGAAGAAGGCCTCACCCACTCTCCCACCACTGTACAAGAGAACAGCAAGAAAACAGTGCCCCTAATCACATCTCTCAAGCCAGAAGAATCTCAGGTCTGCTGAACACATTACATTAGAAAGGCACAGAAGTCTGCTCTGAAAGGGCACTGCATCTAAAAAGGTCCGAGCACATGTAGAAATCTGAACTAGAAAACATGCATCGATCACCCGTGGCAGATGCTTTTATCTCGTGTTCCGGCAAACTTGCGCAATGGGTTGACTGTTGACATTTGCACGTGAATACAGACAATCTCAAAGCAAGGTTATGAATGTCTGAATGAGAGAGATCCGTGATGGTCCTCTAAATATGACCATCAGTATTCATTTACTTATTTATGGGCACAGTGGGAAATGACGCATCTAGCTTTCAGGCACTGGCCATACAGCTGCCTTATAGTGAATCTGAGTGTTTGTCTATCAAGGTTGGTATTGTCTACTCAACTGGTAGCAGCTTTCCAGGTTTCAGAGGAAGGTCTGTCACATTATCTGCTACCTGACCCTTTGAACTAGAAATGTCAGGGATTGAACCTGGGACTTTCTGTATGCCAAGCCAATGCTCTGCCACTCAGCCATGTCCCATTTATGTGAATGTCAACATACCCCAAGTTTTGGTCATTCACTGTAACACATTTATCTAAAGCAAAGTTCCAAAAGTAGTGAAGATGTACATTTCCCCCTCTCATAGATACATCTCCTTAGCTAGCAAGGTTCAGGGCTATAGATTATAAGGCCCACACTGGGCTTTTCTGCATTGACATTTTCCACGGTTGTGTGTTCCTTTTGCTTCAGGTTTCCCCTCCCCCCGTTCTGCACATGTTTAAATCTGCAGGGAGATATGCCAGACATACAGCAATGCAACATCAAATTGACCACTAGAGGTAGCAAAACACAGCAAATCAGAAAAGAAACCCCGAAGCAACATGAACGCACAAGCGAGGAAAATGAGAAGGCGGTAAAGCCCACTGTGTCCTCATGAAGTTTTAGACATTTTTTTTTTCTGAGCATACGCCCGTGTCTTCTGAAAGGAACGTGAGAAGCAGCTTCCAAAAGTCCAGCTCCTCTGAAAACCCAGGGAAGGGCAGAGGCTGAGAATGTGGGGTAGTCTTAAGGTCATTGCCACAGTAGTGCAAAAAATAATAATAATAATAACCTGACGACGTTAGTGCAATTTCTGCAGTGAAGTTGAATGAGATGTTGGGTGAGCCATGTTATCTGACATTCTGGCACAGGAGTAGGTTGCTCGGTTTCTACCAAGAGCCATATTGGAAAGGGAGCCCTGTGAATAGTAGGCATATTCCTTTTGCACATAAATCACCAGGACTGGCATTGAGATGACTGATGCCTGTCCATGGCGAAAGATGGGCTATATCTCAAGACAGGCAGCCACCCGGGGGTGGCCAAGATCCAAGTATGGGCTTAGCCCCAGCTGTTTAAATTCAGGAGTGATTCAAAACTCCACCACCGCCCCCGCCGCCAGGTAGATGCCTTTGAAATTATGTGCTTAAGGCTTCAATCCCTAAGCACACATCCTTTGAAGTTAAGTCTCATTGAATCAAGTGAAATGTGCTTCCAGGTAAACATAGAACGGGGTTAGCTAGAAAGGACACGACCCTCGCTGAAGCTAACCATTTTCTAGACACTGCTGATTTCCATGGGAAATCGTTCACGTGCACGCTTCTTGCCCTACTGGAATCAACAGGAAATAAAAGTTATGTCTGAATTGTGCTCAAACAGCATGTAGAATGTATTTTTTATAACAGTGGATGACCATTGAGGACTCGCCGCCACTGTTTCTAATTTTTGCTATGAGATCTGATATTATGAGAGGCCACCAGGCCGTAGAAAAGTGCTTTGGGGAGGGGGGGGAGCGACACAGGGTTATGTGGGGGACTCAACCATCACCCGCAACTGCACTAGCATTGTGGGATGGGTAAGCCAGTGGGGATTGTGCATCCAAGGGGGAATAAGGCATCGACTCCCCTCCCTCCTTCCCCCACGTACCTAAAATACTGTCTGCAAAATATACACAAACACCTGCACAGACATACACACATCAAAGCCCACGCCAAATTCTGGACACAAACGTACCCCCTCCCCAAGATACTGATATTCCAGACTCTACACTCTTCCAAGCACACATAAACCTGATTCCCAAACACACACACACACACATATACAGAAGTTTTCCATGCCAGGCACACATGCTTCTTAAAAATCATTAAAACAATCCCCTCCATACATACATATACAAAGACACTCCAATACAAATGCTTCAGTCCCACCTGCCCCATCAACTATAATCCTTGGTACTCGCCTCGTTCTGCCCAGATCTGAACCCCACAAGCCTCTGTCCCATCTCAGGAAGTTGCATCTGTGTGGGGGGCTGCATCTACTCTAAACATCCTTCTTCTCCTGGCACAAACTGTGGTCACACCTCTGGGGAGGCAGGAGAAAGGGTGCGTGTGTGTGCTGTTAATGTTTTAATCAGGTTAAGACATGGGTTAAAAAGCTAGAACTTTTTCCTTGCTGGAAACACTGGAAGGAAAGGGTGCTTGAAGTGACTGCTGCACCATTTGGTCCATCCCTCACTCAAAAGGCTCTTGGTAGAGCCACCCGAGAGACTGCAAGTATATCACACAGTGATGTGCTTCAGGAGCATCAAGGTGTGTGCCAACCCCAGCGACCTTGCCTCCCTGTGAACGTGACTAGCAGCAAGTTTGGGATCTTTGTAGACATTGCCAAGAAAGCAAAAATGGAAAGTTCGGCCACCTCGCTGGGTTCGTTACGAAGTGAACGAAAGTTCTCCTTGGATGGTATTCGGGAGCCGTCCCTGGCAATGCATCATGGAGCACAGCTGCAACAGGTGGAGTAGCCAGGATTTAGAAGCACTGCAGACAATGTTGTTCTTGTGCTGGTCTTTTGGTGACGGACGGAGTCAAAGCTGCCTGCAGAGGTTCATGTGCTTTCGAAAACAACAGCCAGTGAAGTCACTGAAACGGGCAAACACAGCAGCCGAAGGGGGCACCCAGGGAGATGCCACTGTGATCCGTAGTGGCAGACCCCTTCCTGCCGAAGCCCGCACCTTTCACAGCAAACAGTACACAACGTAGTTCCGTGAACAGCCAGGAGGGAGGTGGGGAAGAGAGGCAAGCGGAAACCCCAGAGCCCAGCACTGGGAAACCTTGAGGAGCGCCCACTGGGCACGGTCTCTCAACAGTAGCTGTGAGTTTGGCCCTCTGTGTACACTGTCCAACTGGGCCCCAAGTAGCACCCAGACGGAGACCCCTCTCTCCTTCCTACATGGCCATACTGCGGCGGCGATGGGCAGCACTCGTCCAGCTTCCGCAGAGACGAAGGGGGAGCAGAGGTCTGGCTCCCTGGGCGGGCTGGGGGTCCATCGTAGGTGATGATGGGCTCAGGACCGTAGGGGGGCCGACCCCAACAAGACGGGGGAGGGCGGTATAATTGCCACATGGTGCGGCTGCATGGCAAAGCTTCCATGAGCTGGCGGTATTGCCCAGTGGAAGGGTATCCCCAGCCGAGCCTCTGCTTCTGAGGCAACGGAGGTCTGCTGTGGTGTGCGAGAGGCTGAGGAGCTCCGGGGTCGGAATGACTGCGTGGGTGTGATGCTTCAGGTGGGGGGGAAGACGCAGGGATAACAGAGGGGGGCTCAGGAAAGGGCACGTTGACGTAGATGGGTTCCTGCCGAGTCACCGCGGGTGGCATCGGCTGGCTGTGTACACGGCTGTTCTTCAAGATGGGTTGGAGGGACGACGAGGCTGAGGGGAGGTAGGGCTGGCGCCACGGCCTCTCAAACACCCCATAGGAGGCATTAAATGTGGCCAAATACTCAGGGGGCGGGTAGGGTGGCCAGGGTCGCGCCATGCCCGGGTAAGCAGGAGGCTCTCCGGCAATCTCGTAATAGAGATTCTCGTGTTCCAGCTGGGGAGGTGGCGTCCCATTAATGCCTGCCCGAGAAGAGACAGGGAAGCGGCTGCTGTGCCGGAGCTGATGATCCGGGAGGTAGGACTGGAAGGTAGGGAGCCTGCTTTTGAGGGGCAGGGGACTCGGGGCAACGGGGAAGTGTGGAGGAGGCGGAGGCTTAGGTGGGGCCGGAGACTGAGTGGATGAGGGAAATGGGTCTTGGGGCTGGCGGAGTGCAGGATAGGGGACCGACAGGGGAGGCGGCTGGTAGTTAAAGTTGTAGGCGATAGGTGAGGCAGGAGACTGGCAGGACAAGCGGTATGGGTCTGATAAGGAATGTGGCTGGGGGTCTCTCTGGGGCAGGTCGCTGAGGCCCCGCCGGTAGGGCGAGAAGGAATCTGAGCTACCCAAGGGTGAGGCCTGGCTTGACGGCACCTGTGAAGACAGAAGGCGAGAGGGGGAACAGTAGAGACTTGTAAAGCATTTTGGAACACACAGACACACGAGCCTGGCTCCTTCCCACAGAGAGCCCTCTGGTCACCTCCTCCTAGCCAGAGGTCATTTCGGGGGGGATCGCGGGGGATCGCAGTTCCCCCGGGTGAGGTGCGGGGGGCGGGGCACATGATGAAGCCCCGCCCCCTGCTTCCGGCCGCCCCGCTTCCAGCCCTCATTCAGCCAGGAGGAGGCAGGAGAAGAGGGAGGGTAAGTTGCTTCCTCCCCGCCTCTCCCCACCCCTGCCTGCCTGGGGCAGGGAGGGCCTTCGCGGGGCTTCCTTGCCCTCCCGCCGGCCTTGCAGGTCCACCGCCGGGCCCCTCATGGGGCTTGGCAGTGGAGCTGCAAGGCCGGCGGTGGCGGCCAGGACCATTGGGGGCGGGGGGTGTGGCCTTATGACACACTTCCGGTGATGTCAGGGGGGGTAGCATATGCTAATGAGTTATGCTAATGAGTTCCCCTAGCTCTTTTTCTACGAAACGACCCCTGCTCCTAGCGCCCGCTCAACTCACCAGCGTCCCCAGGGTGGTGACCCGTGGGTGCCATGGTGACCACAGACACCTTTCTTGGCACCTGCCAAGTGTTTTTTAAAGAGTGGGCAGGGCCAGATGGAGCTTTCGCCCAGCGGGGCTTCTAACTGGCTGTGCAGATTTTTAAAACCATTGCTTCAGCAGCAGCTGCCACCGCAGCTCAAAGATCTTCACTGCATGACCAAAGGCGTGTGCAAGAAAATATTCTTAAACAATATGTTCATTTTAAAAGGTACCCTGTGAGACACGGCTTCTGCCTGAAATGCCAGAAGTTTACTATTAAAACTGTACATAATCTCACTCCCTGACATTTTGTGGTCAGCTCCGCCTCCTACAGCAGCCATTTTGTGGCTGTGCCCACAGCCCTATGTCAAAATTCCAAAGGTGCCCACAGGCTTAGAAAGGTTGGGGACCCCTTTTCTATCCTAATCCCCTCCTACTGTGTCCGCAGAGAAAGTAAATGCATTCACAGAGACAAAGAACTTAGCAGAGAGTTCTCCTTTTGCCCTGACCGGGAGACGGCACAGGACACCATGGTGCATGAGGCAGAACATCCTCTCACCACCACAGTGGTAAAAGATAATAATACACCATGCACACACACTAAATAACGCACTTTCAATGCACTTTGCAACTGGACTTTGCTGTGCGAAATGGCAAAATCCACTTGCAAACGGTCGCTGAAGTGGGCCAAAACGGCATTATTTAGCATGTGTGAAGGCGCCCAAGTCACTGAGACTCTAAAGAGCAGCTCCAGCTCCAGCACCTCCCCAGGGCCCCCCCCATCCCCCATCCCCCTTCTAGCCCATCCCTTCAACGAGCCTCCGTCTCCTCACCTGGTTTCCACCCTGGCGGTCGCGACACTGGCTGCCTACGCTCCTGCCCCTGGCTTGGCCTTGCAGCGACGCAGGTCCAGGGGCCTTGGGGCCGGGGCGTACCATGGAGTAGAGCGCCCGCGCTCCAGTCGACAGCTCTCCTGCTTTGCACTCCAGGGATAGTGAGCGTCGGAAGTGCGTCCGTGGTTCCCTCTTCCCGTGGCCGGCTTGTCGCTGCTGCTGCTGCTGCTGCTGCTGTAGCACTGCCTGGTGCGCGCTCTCGGCCAGCGCTAGCGCCATCAACCGAGCTGGGTTCTTGGGAGGAGGAGGTGGGGGGATATGCCGCAGCACAGGGAGTGCACCGGGAGACGTGGGGGCCGCTTCGGCTTTGGGACCTCAGTAGGGGAGAAAGAGGGAGAGGAAGATCAGGGCGGGTCCTACAATCAGGAAGGATGAGACCAGGGGTCATCTCCGGCAGGAGCGCACAGGAGCGGAGTTGCGGCAATAAAGAGCCCAGGGGGCGGGCACAGGCAACAAGCCCCACCCCCTGCTCCCAGCAGCCCTCAGTCAGAGCAAGAAGCAGCCAGGTAAGTTGCAGAGTCCCCCTGGCCCCCGGGCCCAAACAGTCCAGTGGCACCTTTAAGACCAAGTTTTATTCAGGTACAAGCTCTCCCTCCTCTGTGTGAGGGCAGATCTGCACCCCACCCCCCAATAGCTAGCAGTCCAAAACAGTCCAGTGGAGACTGAGCGGTGGGTGTTGCCTTCTGACACACTTCTGGTGATGTCAGGAGGTGTGGCATATGCAGATAAGTTATGCTAATGAGTAATGAGCTCCTGCACCTCTTTTTCTACGAAATGATCCCTGGATGAGACCATCTCCATGCAAGGAAAACAGACCAGGCACCCGTTACATAGTGTGTCCTTCCTGTCCCAGGTGGTGGCTGGAGATCTCCGGGGATTACAACTGATCTCTGGGTGATAGAGATCAGTTCACCTGGAGGACGTGGCCACTCTAGAAGGTGGACTCTATGGCATTATACCTCACTGAAGTCCCTCCCCTTCTCAAACCCCGCCCTCCTCAGGCTCCAGCCCCAAAATCTCCAGGTATCTCCAGAGTTGGTTACCCCATGTTCCAGCCTAGAGATGTAGAGCTCGGAGTACTGGTGGGGCACCTGAAACATGTTCTTAAAAGAAGTACCCTTTGCATCACCTGTGCCTGCCCACCCTAACAGAATGGGTTGTTCACTCTATCAGCACTGGGGCTGCCAGGTGAGGCCAACAAGTGGGCAGGGGACTGACCAGGAGGCTCCGGGAGACGGGAGAGAAACTCTGTGAGAGGGAAGTCCAAAGGGAGTTCTGGGTGAGCTGCCCTCACACTTAAAGGGACTGTGTTCCTTTTAAATACGTTCCCTCCACTGGAAATAATGGAGGACGGGGGCACCTTCTTTTGGGGCTCACAGAATTGGACCCCCGGTCCAATCTTTTTGAAACTTGGGGGGGTTTTTTGAGGAGAGACACCACCAGCTATGCTGAAAATTTGGTGCCCCTAACTCAAAAAACAGCCCACCCAGAGCCAATGTTCCCTCTGAGCTGTGGAGTCTTGTGAGCAAAAATTCTACTTTGTGAGCTACTGGCATTAAAGTTGTGAGCGAGCGATTTGGCTGCTGCATAAATTAGTTTCCGCTGGAGCCACCCTTTCTGAGCTAAGACAAAAATGTGTGAGCCGGAGGCTAAAAAACTGTGAGCTAGCTCACACTAACTCAGCTTAGAGGGAACACTGCAATCAGCCCTCTTCAGTCTTCCTGTTCCCAGCCTTGTCCTTCTGACTCGGAGCTCCCCATGTCTGAAACATTCTTCCCTTCTCCTCTATCCATTAAACCAGGGCTCCCAACTTTTTGAACTTGTGGGTTCCTTTGGAATTCTGACACAGGGTGGTGGGAACAGCCACAAAATGGCCACCATGGGAGGCAGAGCCAACCACGAAATGGCTGCTACAAGAGGCTGAGCCCCCCCCCACACACACACACAGAGGAAGCCCAAGTGCAGGGGATGTGAGGAGTAATTTTAAAAAATACACTGGGAAATAGGGGTGTGGGAGAGAGAAAAACCAACACTTTGTTGGCAGGTGCCACCAAAACAATGTTATTTTAATCTGTGCAGCCAATCAGAATTCCATTGGCCAATCAGAAGCCCTGCTGGGCAGAAGCCCCACCTGGCCCCACCCACTTTCTAAAGACACTTGGCGAGCTCCAAGAAAGCTGTCGGCGGGCATCCTGGAAACCACGGGCACCATGTTGGGGACCCCTGCATTGAGTTGTTTCCTGTTCCTCCTCCAAGGTCCTGCTCAAGATCCGCTCAAACCGCACAGGCCTAGAGTAACTATCGTGCTAAGTACTCTACAGAGCCCAATTCCGGCAACCAACCAAATGTGCTGGTGGCTATGCAGCGTTAGCCCTGCGCAAAAGAAAAAGTGCCTCTGGGTCGCTCCCTGCTCCTTGAGACCCCTGCAGCTCAAGACGATGGTGACTGCAACTTTATGGAATGACAGGTGTAAAAAAAAATGTTAAGATACCAGTGATTTGGACAGCGGTGGGAATATAACATTCTGTGCTGTAGTAGGGGACCTGTAAATCACTCACTCCCAAGGCTGGTCTGTTTGCCCCAGTAGCTAAAAATCAGAGTGACCGCTGTGCTAATCAATACAACCTGTTGCCAGAGAAGATAGACAGCCATCAGGGCATGATAATTCTACAGTCAGTATGGCAGATGTTTATTCAACTATTATCTACTTCAGGCAGATTCAGATGACCATATAACGGTACCAGATGTGAGATTAAAAATTTCTTTATCGCTTGGCAGAATAACACTGTGGCGGTGAACCTGATTCCAGCCGTTCTTTCTATTACATATGTTACATCTGATGGACCCATTTATGGTCATTTCAAGCCGTAGTCAAATTATAGGGGGACTGGGAGGGGGGCTTTCCCCTATCTTTGGTGACAGGCCCCTTAGCTACTGTTCTAGAACGCTCCCGAGGAGGTTCTGATTTGGGACTTGGGATAATTTTGCCATTCATGATTTTTATGTTAAACATCAGAATTCAGTTGTTTGACCTTTCACAGATTTTCACATTCTGCTTTTTTAAAAAAAATCACCTTTTCAGTTTGCTGTCAAAATCACTGTGCTGTTTATTTGTGTCACTAACTTTCAAGGCAACTATGTTAAACCTTAGAGAGAAACAAGACTTTTGGGGTATAAGCGTCTGAGAGTTCAAGTTCCCTTCATCTGATACCTGATGAAGGGAGCTTTGATTCCTGAAAGCCTTATACCCCAGAAATTCTGCTGGTCTCTAAGGTGTTCCCAGACTCAAATCTAGGTATTCTACTACAGAGATAGATAATGAATCTATGAGGGAGGAACGAAGGAAGGAAGGAAGGAAGGAAGGAAGGAAGGAAGGAAGGAAGGAAGGTTCTAGTGTATTTATTTATTTATTTATTTATTTCCATTTCTGTCCCGCCCTCCCCGCACGCGGGCTCAGGGTGGCTTACAGGGCACAAGGTGCTATAAAACAGATGCGTTAAAACAGCAGAAGCTAAAAATATTAACATCTCACGGATACATGAAGGACTAGATTGCACATTCTCCATTACATGTCATGAGGAGGTCCAAAGTCAAAATCAAAAGGGAGACGGCATGAGCCATGATGTTCCCATTTCCCATCGGCCCATCCCCAACGATCCTGCTCCGCATATATGCGGTGGTGGTAGTGGCGGCCCCTACTCAAAAGCCTGGCCGAAGAGCTCCGTCTTACAGGCTCTGCGGAACAGTAAAAGGTCCCGCAGAGCCCTGATCTCCTATGGGAGCTCATTCCACCAGATAGGGGCCGCCACCGAAAAGGACCTGGCCCTCGTGGTAGCTAGCCTGGCCTCTTTAGGGCCCGGGGTCACTAAACGGTGCTGTGACCCCGACCGAAGTGCTCTTTGGGGCCTGTATGGGAAAGACGGTCCCTCAGGTATGTCGGACCCAGGCCATGAAGGGCTTTAAAGGTAAGCACCAGCACTTTGAAACGAATCCGGTACACAAAATATTTTTCCCCAGCCAAATTACTTTTGCCTCTAATCAGTTACCCTGTAATCTATTAGTTCTATTCATTCGATTACACAAAGGACTCTGGATGCATTCTCTCCCCTCCTGGGGCACTTCAGACACCCTCACAACCAGAGTGACTTCTCTAATCCCATCCACGGACTAATCAGGGATTCTAGCTCATGGACTGTGATTTCAGAGCCAGCAAGTGGCCATTCTTTCCAATTACCTGAATACAGAGTACAGAGACACGTGAGGTTGCATTCATGGAACACAACGCATGCACAAACGGTACTCACTGTGAGGAGACACATGGCCTTTGGCTTGTGTGAGCTTGCAGCGGACTTCGCGTTTGCAGCTGTCGCTGAGCTGCCCGCCAGCGGCGCTCAGCAGCATGGAGATCATGTGCGGTGGGGAGGTGTGTGCATTCAGCCCCTTGACCTCGCCGCCTGCAAACATTTCCAGCACCTTGTCAGGCAGGGAGACCGGTAAAGCCTCCGATGTATCCTGGCCGATGGTGGGGGGTGAACTGGGTGAGAGGGCTCCGATGGGGCTTGGGGTGCTGGAGTTGTCTGAGACGGAGGGTCGCCGAGCAGGGGGGCTGCACTGGAAGGTCAGCGGGTCAAAGTCCAATCCGCGGAGGCCAGGAGGGCTCAGCTCGAGCTCCGAGTCCAGTTCCGAGTCACCCTCCAGCCAGGAAGAACGGCGCCGTGCCACCATGTCTACGGCCCCGGCTGGGCCGTCCCCCCGGCCCGACACAGAGGAGCCCAGAGATGAACACGAACGGCAGGGTTTCAGGGTGGGGAAGGCATCACTACTGGAGTGGGGGCGTCGCAGGCAGGGCAGCTTGGGAAGACCTAGGCCAAAGACCAAAAGGCACATGGATCAATGGCAGACCCCCTCCTGACAAATTGTGTACCAGAGAGTATGAGAGACACGCACCAAAGCTACACCCCGTTTATGACCGGTGGAGACCACTGCGGGCTGAGCAGTCAACAGCAAGCGACCTGTGCATGTGGATTTATGTGAAAGCCACAAACCACGAGCAGTGGAAAACCGTTGTGTAGATCGATGTTCAGTTTGCTCAGGGTAGCAGCTATCGCCATGGGAAGGCAGTGGCCCGCTGCGGGTGACTTTTTGTCCAACTGTGCTGCTGTTGTTTTTTTTACGGGAAGAAGTCACCATGAAGTGGTCAAAGTCCACACACAAAGCGCTCGCCCCTCTCCCAGGCTCTCTCCTTCCCACCCCACAAGATTTACCTGTCATGCTGGCCTGGGAGGTCAGGGACTCCTCGCTCTTGGCTGATCTCAGGGTGACAGTCTCAACCTGGCCCCCTAGGGGAAGAGACGACGAGAGACCAGGTTATCACCAGCCCCCTGAAAAAGTCTTCGCCAATGTTGCCTCTGAGCGGTGGAGTCTTGTGAGCAAAAAATCTACTTTGTGAGCTACTGGCATTAAAGTTGTGAGCGAGCAATTTGGCTGCTGCATAAATTAGTTTGCTCTGGAGCCGTCCTTCCTGAGCTGAGACAAAAATGTGTGAGCCGGAGGCTAAAAAACTGTGAGCTAGCTCACACTAACTCAGCTTAGAGGAAACACTGGTCTTCGCTCATAATCGTCCACCTCGTTTCCAACCTCATCCACTCAACAGTTCCACACGTGATACTGCAGGGAACTAGTTTTCCAAGGGCAGGGCCCCCGATTCAGATTGGGACCACAGCATGGAAGACGCTTTACGCTTCCTTCCCTGCACCATTTTCATGACAAGAAATCTCCTGAGGGGTATTATTTGTCCCATGGAGGAACTGCACAGGCCGCCAATCAGTACGTCCACACCCATCCCCTCATAGGGCAATCAGCATCCCATTATGAGCCGTTTCTCCAACAAAGCCATGGTCCCGATCCACATTAAGTCCTGGCACACTTGGGAAATTAGTTCTCAGCACCGTGATCTGGAGCTCCTGGGCTGAAAGTCAGGTCCAGGAACCCAGACCCAACCTACGACAAATCGTCTTGTCTAGCTTGGCTCTAAGTCTCCATATCCCAGCCAATTCATTCTCGGCATTTACAACTGCAACGTTATTTACTAGAACAAAATTCACTGTTTGAGAATCCCCAAGTTTCTAGACCTTACGGCTGCCGAGTTAAACTTGGAAGCACACAGGAAGGGCTTGATAAGACCTCAAAAGCCCAAAGGAGGACTTTGTTGCTCTGCATGCGCTTTAAAAGCCCTGCGGCTCTTAAACGAGAATAAATTATACAAAATTGCGCAGATGCAAGGCTCCTTTGATTTCTTTACATAATTTACCAATCGCTGAAATCGCTGGCTTCTGATCAGCCTAAACTGAGCACAGCAAACGAGGCTTTTGCAGCGATCGTCTTTTTTATTGTTGTTTTAAAATGTTGTTTTTAATTACCTAACTTACATGTTACTGGTTAATTATTTAACTTATACGTTACTGTTGTCACGATTTGTGTGACCTTGTAACCCACCCTGAGCCCATTTGCGGCGAGGGCGGGATAGAAATCGAAATAAATAAACAAATAATAAAATAAAGTATGCAATTTATCAAGGATATGTTATGCTTCAGTCAGAAATGTTAACAGAAACAGCAACGTCCTTTTGAATGCATTTTGTCCTATAACTGAACACTTAAATGGCAGAAAAGGTAAGACAGTCTGAGTGTTAACATCTATGATTTTTGTTTCCTGGGCTCGATGTTCATTATTTTTGTAAATTGTCTTCTCTAAAGGCCAAACTTCTTGTTCAAAATATGCTGGGAATTCTAAAATCTCATCAATGGGTATTCAAGCGATTTTTTTTGCAGATCTTTGCCCTGCCTCGGTGTGGAATATGGAGGGTGGGGTAGGAAACATACAGACCTGTTTCATACACCCTAGAAGAGGGTAGCTACAGATCGGTTACAGGATGAAGGAAGACAGTTCAGGTACAAGGCGGCACAAGTCCACAAACCTGGGTATCAGTTGGGTCTCTCACCTGGCAGAGACTCTCCGAGTCCAAAGAGCTCTCCAAGCCGATGTGATTTCTTGCGGAATGTCACGGGGGCCTTGCCAATGGCAAAAAACGCTCTCCAGCTTGGGCCCGAGGTCTTGCGTAGCCTCCCGTTGCTCTCCGCCTTTTGCCTGCAGGTGAGAGACAGAGGTCAGCTCTGTTCCACCACCTCCAGCACCCTGGGTCAGAGAGAGCGACACACTCCCTCCGAGAGAAATTCAGCTCTCCCTCTAAGGGCGTACTGTTGCTGCAGGTAAAAACCCGGCATCTCGGTTGCCAAGTCACCTGTTAAAAGATCTTCCCCTGACCTGGATAGCCCAGGCCAGCCCGATCTCATCAGATCTCAGAAGCTAAGAAGGGTCAGCCCTGGTTAGGACTTGGATGGGAGACCACCAAAGAATTCCCGGGTTGCTATGCAGAGGCAGGCAATGGCAAGCCAGCTCTGAATGTCTCTTGCCTTGGAAACCCTGCAGGGGTCACCATAAGGGGCCTGTGACTTGAAGGCAAAAACAAACAAACAAAAAGCAAGAAACAGAAAAGGGCAAGGACCTTTCTAAGAATTATCATCTTGCTGCATCAGATCCGTCTCGTCCAGCATTTTGCTTCTAGCAACACCCAGCCCTGATGCCACCCAAAAGCTCTCAAGGAGAGCAGGAGAGGTATGGGTCCTCTGTCCCCAGAATTCAGTCTGGGGCCCGCCTCTCTGCATGGAGGTATCTGGGGCCCACCCCTACATCCTCCATCCCTGTTACCTGGAGTCAGGTGATCCCAAAACAGAGGAGACCTTTCCTTGCCCCTGCAGATCGGTGGACTCGCGTTTGGCCTCTGGTTTGGTGATCTTGCAAAGGGCTTGAGTGCGAGCCTGGGCCTCCTCGAGAGACAGCAGTCGGGTGGAAGGGCAGCTGACCAGCTGGGATTTGGGTCGGGGAAGGAAGCAGCGTCCTGGTGGAGGAGACAGGAAGTTGCTTCTATGATCACCAGGCTCAGTGTCAGAAGGACATCATTGCAGCACAAACAGACATTCCATGGACACGCACCAGAGAGATTTAGTGCAGAAAGTGGTAGTATGACCTCAGTGGGAAGACAGGTCAGGAAATACTCCCATCCCAGTGATGGACAACCCAGGCTAGCCCAATCTCATCAGATCTGGGAAGCTAAGCAGGGTCAACCCTGGTTAGCACTTGGATGGGAGACTACCAAGGAAGACGAGGATTGCTACGCAGAGGAAGGCAATGGCAAATCTGAATGTCTCTTTCCTTGAGAACCCCTACAGGGTTGCCAGAAGTCAGCTGCGATTCACTGGCACTTGACACACACAATGTCCTCCAAGTCAAGCTGCCTTTGAGAAGTTCTCCGAAACCACAACTGGTCCAGCAGTAAATGTTTTTTAGAACCCCCCGTAATGCTTTCTAAGAATTTCCGTAGCATACTAGAACACTACCAGCTCCTGGGGGGGAAGGCACATGATCCATAAAATTGTAAGAGGTACTCAGTGAATTAGATCAGGGCATCTAGTTGAGCATCCTGTATTACACAATCCCAAACGGGTGCCGTGGAGAGCCAACAAACAGGGTAAGGAAGCCAAGGCCTTCCCTTTGGAGTGGCTGTGGTTCAGTGGCTGAGCCTCTGCTTGGCTTGCAGCATGTCTCAGAGTCAATCGCTGGCATTTCCAGTTAAGAGGATCACATAGTAAAAGACCTCTACCTGAGACTGAGGAGAAAAACCGGTTTGAACAGACAGTATTGACTTTGATGGACCAATGGTCTGATTCAGCATAAGGTAGCTTCATATTTCCATGTGTAGCCCTGGTATTCAGAGACTTACAGTCTCTGAATAGGGCATAGGCTTTAGCCATTTTAGCTAGAAGCCATTGGTGGATCTATCCTCCATGAATGTGTCCAGCAATCTAGTTGTAGCTTGGACCTGGTCAGTGCTTGGATGGGAGACTTCCTGGGAACACTACGTAGACAAAATTTAGCTCCATGATAGAAGAAAGATATACATGAAATAAGCACAGAAATGAGTTCAGTGATTAATGTGGATACAGTGTCTATTCTGGAACCTTCCATGCTGTTTGCCAATATTCACTACTTGTCTCTCTCTCTCACACACACACACACACACAAACATCAGGGGAGTATATGGGACTCAAAAGAGAGGTCTCTTTATGCTTGTTGAAGCACAGGGCCAGCAATTACAAAAACAGAAGACTATCTCCTCACAAAGCCTCTTGGACGAACTCCCAATGGCCAGTTTTGTCAGAATCAGACATTCTGTGCCAAGAAAGGGGAAAAAATGTTGATGGCTCTTTGCCTGAGGTGGGGGAGAGAGACATCTACAGCTGTGATATAAATGTCAGTAAGCTGACCTCTCTTGGCTTCCCTTGAGAATTCTGGGATTTGTAGGAAGATGCTGACTGATTCTTAGCAGAATTCCTAGCACCCTGACAGAAATATGGATTGATGAGGTACCTGCACTGTCCTTTCCGACAGAGGTGAAGGTGTCGCTGAAGAGAACCTGAACGTTGTTGAGAAGGAACTCAACCACAAGGGACTGCACTCGGACTTCCTGGAAGGCATCCGCACCACACTGCGCTACGGACTCTAGAGCCATCGAACTGCCATGAAAAGGAGGAGGAATTACTATGTGGTCTGATATTTCTGTGAGAATCAAGAAAGGCCCGCGAAAGATACAAGCACACTCGTGGGCCCTGGGCATCATGCGTCTGACCTGGAAGGGACGTTGCACAAACCTGAGGTAGCATGGTTAACTAGGGAAGCAAGGACAGATCGCCAAATTATTAGATCACAGTGAACACAGGAATTGGCATTGGGTTGGTGTGGAAGGAACTTCCAGGGCATTATGGGTAAGTGTGACAGTGAGGAACAGATTAATGGAGGGGGAAAGGAGACAAAGGCTAGCAACAGCACAGGCAAAATCTCAGGTGAAGAGCCAAACAGCATTGCCGGCAGAACCCCAAAGCGGAACATCTGGGACAAATCGCACAGCGACACTTCTAAGGGATAAAACTGTGAGAAAGGACTGTTTACTTCATATATGCGACACCTTTGTCCCCAAGGAGAACCCAAAGAGGCTTGCATCATTCTCCTCGCCTCCATTTTATCTTCCCAACAACCTTGTGAAGTAGGTTAGGCCGAGGATGTGTGACTGGCCCGAGGTCGCCAAACAAGATGCCCTGGCAGAGTGAGGATTCAAAGCCAGGCCTCCCAGATCACAGCCCAGCACCCTGACCAATACATCACACCGATTCTCTCAGGAAGTTAAGCCCAGCAACTATAGATTCCTCATATGACGCAGGAAAGGTTGAGTTTCATGCCCCAGAGGACTGTCGGTAAGGGCTGTGATTAGCACAGGGGAAATGCCAGGGAAGCACAAGTATGGTTTTGAGAACAGCACAGGGAAGAGCCGGAGAGGGTGCCAGGCAAAGTGTCTTGGCAGCGTAGGGAAGGCGTAGTGCGTCTGGGCGTCTCACCGCAGCAGGTTGGGTGCCCAGACGATGGCTAAGTTGCGGATATGCATGCTGGTGTTTTGACTGTGCATAGCCATGCGTGCCAGGTGCCGGAGCAGGTATTCCAGGGTCCTGTTGGGACAGAGCAGAAGCTGCTACCGCGACAGCCGGCGTCTATGAGCCTCCCCCGCAACCCAGCCTGCAGCCCAGTTCCCACCTCCCACTACTCCTCTGCCCACCCTATCAGTTCTTCAGGGCTGCCTTCAGAGACAGCCATATTTCAGACAATCTGTACCTGTAGTGTGGCGGAGGTAGCTGCTGGATGACGTCATGGACACGCACCAAGCGATCCTCGTTCCCAGAGACGGACACAGCCTCCTGCAAGGGTGGGGGAGAAAAGGAGGGGGGGTCAATTCGGCAGCAAGGCTTCACGTGGAGCAGGGCCCTGTCAGTTTTACAAAGAGGAAGACAGAGGAGCGGCTTCTTGGAAGTCAAAAAGGTACCATTCTTCAAGTCTATCTCTCAATATGCAGAAAGAGAGACGCTGAGCAAAGCTGTAAACCTGAATTTTCAGCCCAGTTATGAACAATGAGACTGTCTAGCTGAACTAAGCAAAAGGTCTGCCTAGTCCAGCGCCCTGTCTCTGACTGTACTCAACCAGATGCTTTGAAATGCTCATGAGACACGAAGGACGAACCTGACTTTCTGCTCTTCCACATTCTCATTTTTCTTGCTTGTGTGTCCCTATTGCTTGGGAGGGGAGTTTCTGCACTTATTTTGCTCCCTTTAGTGGTCGAATCGATATTACATCACTGTATGTCCAGCATTAAAACTGGCAGATTTAAACTGCAGGTTTTTATGCCAGACATTGAGTACTGTAGTACCAAATTGACCACTAGAGGGAGCAAAACATGAGTGGAAAGGGGGGGGGACCCAAAGCAATAGGAACAAACAAGTAAGGAAGATCAGAATGCAGGAGAGTCCTCTGTTTCCAGAGCTGGAAGTGAAGAATCGGTTGCTCCTGGACCAACAAGCCCCACCCCCTGCTCCCAGCAGCCCTCAGTCAGAGCAAGAAGCAGCCAGGTAAGTTGCAGAGCCCCCCACCCACCCAAAACAGTCCAGTGGCACCTTTAAGACCAGGTTTTATTCAGGTACAAGGTCTCCCTCCTCTGCGAGGACAGATCTGCATGTTCCTCCCCTCCTCCCCCCAATAGCTGGCAATCCAAAACAGTCCAGTGGAGCCTGAGCGGTGGATGTTGCCTTCTGCCACACTTCTGGTGATGTTTTTTAAAGCCACCAGTATAATCGAGAAGATCTCCCATCCACTGATGACAGACCCCCACCTGACTGGCAGAAATATAGCCCAGACTGGTCTCAAACATCACCAAAAAAAGTGATAATAACCTCGGTTGCAGACTCTTCCCATGTTCCAGGGGATTTTTAAAAAGTGGTACAATTGCACAAATCCCCCAAACAAACCAATATGACTTCAGAAAAGCAAGGGAAACGATGCAAAGCTCACTGGGATTTTTAAAAGTGGTGATCGCGGCAGAGAGAAGACCTCAGAGCCCAAACAGGATGCAATTCTCCCACTTCTGTGTCAGGACAAAAGGAATCAAGCCAATCAGCAGCAAGTTCACTTGGATCATAGACAAGACTTTTGGATCATAGACAAGACTCATCCGCATCTCCTACTTCCTGCCCGACCAACTGGCGGTGTGGCCAAACCCCAGACTGGTCTCAAACATCACCAAAAAAAAGTGATAATAACCTGGGTTGCAGACCCTTCCCATGTTCCTGCCCGACCAACTGGCAGTGTGGCCAAACTAAGAAGCCGTAAGTCACCAGGCAAGAGGGAACATTTCCTCCTTTGAGAGACAAAGGATGCTGGAGCGAAGCTGAAGGGAGAGAAGTTAAATAACTGGGGTGGGGGAAGAGGTGGAGAAAACGGAGGCAGTGCCCTGAAGGGGGGT